CCTCCCTCCGTCCCTCCCTCCCTCCCAGGAACCTCCCGGAGCAGAAGCCCTGGGGCCCGTACCCGGCCTGCTGTGCTGGTTCGGCCGGTGTTGGGGGGCCAAGTTCTCCCCCAGCGACTGGCACCAGGCACCCCTGCAGGTCCCCCGGCCCCGGGAAGTTAGACACAGACGGTTGCCTAAATGTGTTTTCGGGGGGGAATGGGTTCGTGCCTCTCGTCAGATTCTCTCGAAGGCGCCAGCTCTCAGGAGTGGTTCTGAGTCACATCTGTGAGGAGGCGCAGGTGGGGCTGCCCCGACGCTGCCGCTGTCCCAGCTCACAAGTGCCACCCTGATGCTCGCTCGTCCCCGCGACTTAGCGGAGTTAACTCACCCCAGATGTGGCCCATGAGTGCTGGCTGCTCCTGGCCAAGGAATCGGGGCCAGGTGCAGGCTGAGCAGAGCTGGGTCTATAGGAGGCCGCCCCCTGTCCCCCCGGGACCCTCCCCCTGCACCCCCACAAGCCAGGAAGAACGGAGCCTCATTCTTGCTGGGGCTGCTAGGCCGATGCGTGGGAGCCGGAGTTGCCTGCACCCAAAGCGCCTACCTGAGGATGAAGCCCACCGAGAGAGCAGACAGGTGCCGAGAAAGCAGAGCGAGGCTGAGAGACACTGTGTGGGGCCTGGATCAAGCTATGCCTGAAGCCAACACACCCCTCAGCGTTCTGCCGACACGAACACACAAATCTCCTCTTTCGCTTACACTACAGGAGCTGGGTTTCTGCGTTGTTAGACGGACACCAGTCTCTCCGGTGCCAGTCACTCTGGGAAACGCGGGAGCTTTCGAAGAACGTGAGTCCCGGGCCCGGCTCTTCCAGGCCAGCGGCTCCCCCGCCTCTCCGCTCCCTCTCGCTGTGCCAGGCTGTTTGCTGAGGTTTGCTCTGCCCAGTGGCCGGGAAGCCCCTCACGGGGACCCTGTGGAAGCTGCAGCCGTGGCCAGGCCATCCACAGAGAATAGAGCGGGCGCCAAGGGGGCGGGCGGGCGCCCCGGAAACCCACTCCTTCCCAGCACGGCCTCGATGATGTCGCTCACAACGCTGTAAAATAATAGCCACCAAATCGGACCAGTGAGATGGGGGCGCGTCTGAATGCGGGGAGCAGAGGCTTTCCCACGCTTTCACCCCTTACCCTGCGAACGCGGCCCGCATCGCACCCCTGGGACACGCAAGGCCGAGCAGCAGCACCCCGCGGCCGGCGCCCCAGCCCAGCAGGGAGGAAGCCAGTTTCCAACCCCGTATGGATGCTGCTCCATGAACACGCCCGAGGGAAGGATTCCTAACCCAGCGCACCGAGCCCCCTCCCCCCCAACCCCCGGGAGTCAAGGGAAAGGCTGGGGACAGGGCGGGGTCAGAAGGCGGAGGACACCAACGTGGTCCTGGAGACGCCGGGACAGCCTCGCTGGGGAGGAGCTGGGCCCCACGCAAGGACCTCTGATTAGGCAGGCGCGGTGCACGGTGCACAGCGAGTTGGGCCCGGGGCGGTGCGGAGCCCCTGCAGCTCCATGCAGACACCCTGCCCTGCAGGCCCCACCTGCCCCAACAAAGATGGCAGCTCAATGCAATGGAGAAAACGTGCGGGGGTTTTCACCCAAAAGTGTAATAATGCAAATAATGAGGATGATAACCTTGACCCATACCTCACACCATATACGAATTTACATCAAAGTGAATCGGTGCCCTAAACATCACACTAATAAACTCCTATTAGAAAACTTTTGTGGCCTTGGGTTAAAGGCTTCGTAGATATGAAGCCAAAATCGTGGCCCATAAAAATGTTTGACAAAATTCCATTTCATTAAAAGTCCATTAAAAGCGTCTGCTCTTCACAAGACATTAAGACACGAAAGCCAGGCCACAGGCCGGGCGGGAACAGTTACAAAACACGTCCCTGACAGGGAGTCGTCTCCGGTTTGAAAATGGAAGGGCAGCCATTTGCCCTCATTTTACACCCGAGGCTGTGCCTCCGCCTCACGGAGCAGTGGCTGTGTCCTGTCCTCCCCTACCCCCGCTTTTTAAAAGGCCCCCCCAAAAAAGGGACCCCCTCCCCCCGGCCAGTTTGTCTAAAACTGTGCGTAGCTGGTAGCGGCGAGTCTCCGCTGGCTGTGTGCAGCCTCCGGGCAGGCGGACACGCGTGACTGTGCTCCCTGCACATTGGCGAGCCCACCTGGCCATTCACCACGCACCGAACACGCAGCCGCCTGGGCTACGGGGGTGACCGGGGCTCAGACTCCTGCGTAAGCCGTCTCCGTTTAAAGTCGTCCTGAAGTTGCTGCCTCCTCCCCCGCCAGGAAGAAGGAGAACCCTGCCTGCCACTCAGACACTCCAGGCACCCAGACCCGCGTGAGAGGGTGACCCGCCTCCTGGCCTCGCCAGGGACTCTGTTAGCTCCGTGACAACCGCAGGAGTTCGGCAACCGGCCATCGTCCGCCAGCTGGAAGCGGCTGTGATGGTGCATGTGAGGTGTGCCCTTGACTGGGCCCCAGGCTTCCCAGACCTGTGGTCAAACATGACCTGGGCGTGTCTGTGTTTCGGGAGGTTAACGTGTAAACCAGGAGCCGGACGAAGCAGACTGCCCTCCCCGGCATGGGGGGCCTCGCCCCATCAGTCGGAGGCCTGAGCGCGAGAGCTTTCCCCCCTGGCTGCCTTCGAGCTGGGACATGGGTTTTGTCCGGCCTGAGACTCACAGGCCTCGGGCTCTCCCTGGTGTCAGCCTGCCCGCCCCGGACAGACCCACACCGGCTCTCCTGCCGCCAGGCACTCGCCCAAGCACGGACGCATGTCATCCTGCTTAACCCTTGTGAGACGCACGTGGCCCAGGCCCTGGGGTCACGCCACTTCAAGGATGGGAATCTGAGCCCCGGAGGTGACGGTGCCTCGGGCTGGGCTCCAGGCCTTCTTGTGGGGAAACGGATCCGCTTCGCTCCCTGCAGTGGCCCTAGCAGCTCCGGAGAGCGAGTGGGGCGGGTGGGAGGGCTGGCACCCCGTATGCACCCCCATCCTCGAGGCTCGCTGGACCCACTCAGACCAGAGCCGCCACCCCACCCTGACCTCCATCACCTCAGACACACCCGGCGCCCGGGCTGGGACCCCTCCCTGTTCACATCTCTGGGGACACCGCGCAGCTGCCTCTCCGGTTCAAGGTCAATGACACGGATTCCAAAAGAGCCTTCACCCCCATGGCCGGCCGCTGCCCGGCGAGGGAGCCGCCACGAGCTGGCCAAAGCCGCACGGTAATTCCGCCAGCACCGTGTTCAGTCCTCGCACAAATACCGCAGCGGCACCGGCGAAGGGTTTCGTTCTGATTTCGTGCCGCCAAGCGGGTGCTGCCAGAGCTCCGGGCGAAGGAGAGAACAGACGCAGGCGACGGGCAGTGCTGTTCCCCGACGAAGCGCCCGCCAAGCCTGTCGCTGCCCAGGCGTCGGGGAGCGGTCACTGCCCTTCCACAGACGGGAGGGCGAAGGCCCGTCCGCCTCCAACCTCCGGTTCCGCTCCCCCTCGGGAAACCGAGTCTGGTTCAATATGGATGACCGGCGGCATTAGTTAAGGGGGCAAAGTCCGTTAACAGAACCCCGATATGCTGACCGTGTCCCCGGGAATCTGGGCAAGTTCACAATCAAGTGTGTAAATATTCTAAAAAAGGGTCCTGAATATTTTATGAATATTTGTCATAAAACAGAAATAATAACCACTGTGCAGAGCTATTAGAATTAATATTTATGCTGCCCGCCATGAAATATTCATGGGGACGGAGAGAGGGGGGCCGTAAGACAGGAATTAATTTACACCGGGCTCGGTTTACCCGCTGGCTTGATGTTTAAAGACGGTTGACAAGCCTCCGCATGAATCCGCCAGTCACTTCCCGCCACGGGTGGGGCGGA